TTTTTTAATTAAATGCCCATCACTGTAATTATCTCAAATCATTTTAAAAAAGGGGAAGGGTAAAATAACAAATACTTCCGGGGTCATTATGAACTTAAGAGAAAATTTCTACTATTGTGTTAATATATCAGGTTACCTTTATGAATGCCAGTGATAGGATATAGTGCTAATGCATACTTACTGGCATAATATTTTTTCTATGAGAGGCTGCTCATATTTCAGAGTCATTTTTATGGTTATCAAAATCCATTATTAATAAGCAACATGCAATGAGTCAAGTCCTAAAAACTTCTGTAGCAAAAAAAAAAACAAACAAAAAAAAACAACTGGATTATACCTTCTTAAAACAGTGTTAGATGTTACCAAGGTCCATTCAAGTATGTTTTTTTTTTTTTTTTTTTTTGAGAGAGAGAGAGAGAGAGAGGCAGAGGGAGAATCTTTTTTTTTCCCCCAAAGATTTTATTTATTTATTTGACAGGAGAGAAATCACAAGTAGGCAAAGAGGCAGGCAGAGAGAGTGAGAAGCAGGCTCCCTGCTGAGCAGAGAGCCTGATGCCGGGCTCCACCATGACCTGAGCCGAAAGCAGAGGCTTAACCCATTGAGCCACCCAGGTGTCCCCAGAGGGAGAATTTTAAGCAGGCACCTGATACGGAGGTAGATCTCACAACTCTGAGATTACCATCTGAGCCAAAATCAAGAGTCAGATGCTTAACCAACTCAGCCACCCTGGTGCCCGGAGGTCCATTTAAGTAGTTTAAACCTAGGAGAAACCTAGAGAAATTACTTTGAGAAAAGTTATCATTAGAACAGGTAAAAAAGCAAATGATGACATCCAAATACTCAGGATTTGGATTTAACACTTATTAACTTTTTACCAAAAGAATTACTTTTTGAAAGTGGAAAGGCTTTTTGATACATGTTCCAAAGCTTTTATGGTTTTTTGACCAATACTGTGAATTCTAAAGAGTAAATATATTAGTTATTTAACTTATTAGCTAATTCAGGGAGGATAAACTATTCTTTTTTTTTTTTTTTAAAGATTGTATTTATTTATTCAACAGACAGAGATCACAAGTAGGCAGAGAGGCAGGCAGAGAGAGAGAGCGGAGGAAGCAGGCTCCCCGCAGAGCAGAGAGCCCGATGTGGGTCTCGATCCCAGGACCCTGGGATCATGACCTGAGCCGAAGGCAGAGGCCTTAACCCACTGAGCCACCCAGGATAAACTATTCTAAAACCACTTTCTCCATTTCATGACAACAAATCTAAATAAAAGGTTTTACATGTTGATCAACAGAAGTCCCAAGTCCACACACAATACAGCCAGACATCATGGGGAACAAAATGACTTTAGTACACAGAAAAACTGTAATGAAGCAAAGCAAAAAAATGGAATTCAGTAGAGAAATGATTATAGGTGTTAAATATTTTCATCTTAGAAAGGAAATACTAAACTTATTCTGTAATTTCTATATACAAAAACTGAGAAACTGAACCTGGGGGATACTGATCATGGTGCCATTCAGAGGGAGGCAGGCCACAAATGGCCACTGGATGGCCACAGCCAAATTCAAAACAGATACTCCGGAAGGTTGAAACCGTGACAAGTAAACTATCAATTGTGTTCCTGGTACAGCAATCTGAGGATGGGAAAAAGGAAAATGTTATGTAAGTAATTACAACCAATGGAAATGAAGGGCCACAAAGGCATTCTATAATGCCAGTGGAGGGCATGGCAATGCAGTGAGTACTTGGGAGCCAGACTGCCTATGCTAGAATCCTGGGTCTAGCCCTTGGGTTCTTCATCAGTACACTACATAATGAAGTCAGGTTCTGAGGAATGGTAACTACTGTATCCTACAATAGTTAGTTCTTCCCTAGAGCTACACAATAGGTTTTATATTACACAACTTAATGATTACAGCTGAAGTCCAGACTGTGATGCCACCAGCTTTGGTTTTCTTTGTTAAGATTCCTTTGACTATCTGGGATCTTTTCTGGTTCCATACAAATTTTAGGATTATTTGTTCCAGTTCTGTGAAAAAAGTTGATGGTGTTTTGATAGGGATTCCACTGAATATGTACACCGCTCTAGGTAGCACAGACATTTTCACAATATTTGTTCTTCCAATCCATAAACATGGAACGTTTTTCCATTTCTTTGTGTATTCCTCAATTTCTTTCATGAGTGTTCTATGATTTTCTGAGTACAGATCCTTTGCCTCTTTGGTTAGGTTTATTCCTAGGTATCTAATGGTTTTGGGTGGAAACATAAATGGGATTGACTCCTTAATTTCTCTTTCTTCTGTCTTGTTGTTGGTATATAGAAATGCACTGATTTCTGCATACTGATTTTATATCCTGCCACTTTACTGATTTCCTGTATGAGTTCTAGCAATTTTTAAGCGGAATCTTTTGGGTTTTCCACATAAAATATCACATCATTGGCAAAGAGTGGGAGTTCAATATCTTTGCCAATTTGGATGCTTTTCTTTCTTTTGATGTCTGACCACTGAGGCTAGGACTTCCAGTACTATGTTGAACAGCCGTAGTGAGAGTGGACATCCCTGCCATGTTCCTGAACTTAGGGGAAAAGCTCTCTGTTTTTCCCCATCTAGAATGAATTCTAGAATGAAATCTAGAATTGTGGGTTTTTCATAAATGGCTTTTATGATATTGAGGTATGTACTCTCTTTCCCTACACTGTGAAGAGTTTAAATAGAAGATAAAGGGACAAAAAGATCCATAAGATCAAATTCACTCAAAATTTAACCACAAAGCATAATGTATGGGGCTGGCAATAAAATATGAGGAAAACATGGTCCTTCCTCTCAAAAAGCTTACAACTAACTATAATTTCACAAGGGAAAAACCAGGGATCCAACCAAGGTACAGGTTTTCTTTTAGGAACAGGCTAAAATAATTTATTAATATATGCCTAAAGCTCAGAAAAGAGAAAGAAAAAAAAATTCCTCATTTATGCTACATGTTTTTGTTGAAGGTAATCTGTAATGACAATTATAATTTTAAAATGAAAACTGGGTCTGCAAAAATTAGTACAAAGATAAAATAACCTGGTGGCTGCCACTTTAGGCTCTGCATTTTTTTTCTGTCCTGCAAAGGAAGGAGGAAGAGAGCCAGTTAGCACCTAATGGATTTCTCTCTTTTATTATAAACAGCAAGGTGGGTGTATTAGACTTGTTCTCTTTTGTTTATACATGTTGCTTCCCTATGAAGCTTCTAGGCAAAAGAAGACTTAATGAAAGCAATGTCACTGTTCCTCGAGGTTTCAGGTATTCACAGAAGTGCCTCTGCCCTTGTTCCTTCCTTATGTGCATCCATCAATTAACAACCTCTATATAGAGGTGCAATCTCCCGCTTTTTATGAGTCTCAAAACCCTGGGGATCTGTAGTACACTGAATAGAAAGAAACATACATTTAAGTTTCTATGGAGTTGAAACAGACTTTACTAAAATATTTAAAATATTATGAGCAACAATGACTTACTATTTTCAGGATTAAATAAAACCCCTGAGGTAGCGTGGGAGAAAGAGGAAAATAGGAACTCTCAAATTTTAGAGTACTCAAATGTACTCTAAATTCTTAAAAATGTTCTCCTAATGACAAAAGAGCTCTGAGCAAGTATTTGTATTTTCTGTGGCATCAGTGTCTCTGTTGGCCCAGAGCTGAAGAAAGGTTCATTAACCTTGTGGTAAAAAAAATACTTGCCATTTCCAAGTTTTGAAAATAATACAATAAAAATTCCAGGCACGAAGGTGGCATGCTTTACTTATGAACATCCATAAAGAATTATTAATTTTAAAACTCTTGCTTATCAGTAAAACTCAATGGAAAAGAGAAAAAAAATCTTTTTGATTACTTTTCTAAATCAAAACGTAGACATTTATAGTACAGTGCAGGCCCAGACTCAGGAGGTAATTATAAACCCTTAAAGATCTTTAAGCATTACAATGTGATTTTTCTTAAATTTAACTACAAAGCCATAGGAGAAAAATCACTTATCAAAAAGGAAAATGATGGGGGCACCTGGGTGGCTCAATGGATTTTAAGCCTCTGCTTTTGGCTCAGGTCATGATCTCAGGGTCTTGGGATCGAGCCCGGCATCAGGCTTGACAAGGAGCCTGCTTACTCCTACCCCTCTCTGCCTGCCTCTCTACCTACTTGTGATGTCTGTCAAATAAATAAAATCTTAAAAAAAAAAAAAGGAAAATGATGAAGCATTCTTGATAGCACTGGCTAGAGAAGCAAAGCATTATTTTGCTAAGTGCTCTTCCTCACACACAGGAATGAGAGCTTTAGTCGATTCCCCGTACAGCACCAACACAGCTAATGTTGTACTGGTGTTTCTTTTTGTGAGGTCCAGAAGCAGCAGAGGTAACAACTAGGATGATGAAAAGGAAACACATCCCTGGAGATTAATTGGACAGAAAGACCTTTACTAATGAACTTCAGGAAAAACTGAGGACAAGAATCAAAGTACCCAAGGACTAAATGAGGCAGAAAAGGAAGGAGTTCACACTGGGCAAAAGCCAGGAGGAGCTTTTGAAAAAAAGCACACACAAATTCAGAGAAACATGTGTACCCTCCCAACCACAGCTGACCAAGAGGAAAAAGTATATACTCAAGTTTTTCAATTCTAAATGAATTATAGTTATTGCCATGAAGGCAGCTACAGTTACATAGCAACTGATGAAAAAATTAAAGAAATTTGTGTTGAAGCTATTGTCTTACGTGTTTATTCTAAGACAACTCTATATCTAGAGAAATACTGTCCCAAATCAACTAAAACAGAAATAAAAGACAAACACTTGGATATGAAAAGGAAAAGAACTCCCTAGTAAACTAAAAACATTTTCAATTGTTTCAGTTCCCTGTTTTAAGGAAGGTTTTTTAAAACCTCTGGGATTAAAAATTAATCTGCATAGTACTCTGAAAATACAAAGTTAAGACATTTTCCACTCTTCTTTCTTGCCAACTTACTTCAAAGAGATGCTGTAAAGGATTGGACTGAAGTTTTTCTTCATAGCCAAACAGCTGGAAGCCAGTTCCCAGAAGACCTATCACAATAATCCATAAATGAAAACATTATAAAATGGCATAGTAGAGAACAGACATGGCAGGGAACAGGTTCAGTTGTATCAAAAGATCAAGCTCTCATAATTATATGTCCTGAGAGTGCTGCAAACATACGCTATCATCTTCAGCTACCCCATAAACTCATGTAAGTTCAATTCAATGTTCCAAACCACAAATTCACTATATTGAATAGATCACTGCAATTAACTTCACAGACACCAATAGATTATGAACTCATAAAAGGTAGAGTCTAGGACTAACTTGTCTTTGTACTAACAGTGCCTAACACTTCCCTAGCAGACATAATAAAACAGCTCTCCTAGGGAAGGACATCATGATGCTAGAAACTGGATGTTTAAAATTTCTGAAAACAAATTAATGGGAAGTGATTTCAGAACTTTCTTACTAAACTTGTAGGTGTTAAAATAAAACAAAGGTAGAAATTGGCTTGGTGTTCTAATATTAGTTCTTAAACCAATGACTGAAGGAAAATAATAAAAGATAAAACTCAAAACATACCTGATTACCTCTCCCATTCAAGGTGGCCAATCAACAAAATTCTTTTTTATCTGGCCATGTATTTGTCTCTTATTTGTCAATGGTTTTTTGGGGTTTTTTGGGTCTCTGATGATAAGTTCCAGCATTCAGGGTTAGTGTTAATTTGAATCTTAGTTTTTTTTTAAATAATAATTGAGGTAACAGACAATGAGTACTTATATTCTTAAGATATTCTTGCTAAAAGACGACCACGATTTCAGTTTGAAAGGATATATGCAGCCTGGGGTCAAGAACAACAAAAGGTTGTTTAATTATTTTAAAAACCAATCTGTTTCTACAACTCTATCAGTTACTAAGCTTCAGATCTAAAGAAGCTATTGTTGGGGGCCTTGCTGATGATTATTTTTCTATAGAGGCTCAGCAGAAAGCAGGATGCTACTGAACATGAAGATATAAAATATTTTGGAGCTTTAGACAGAATAGAAGGATGAAAGAAAAATGTACCAGCCCTATTCACTTTAAGCAGAAACAAATGTGATTATGATTCAGGGTCTTGGGAGCAGAATGTGGAAAGATGCCCAGAGTATCTAAAAAATGGAAATAGGAAAAGTAAAGGCCAATCTCCATTTAACATTCAACCTAATATATTTTCAAAAACTAATTTTGTGCTTAGAAACTATCTGCCAACTTTCAATAGGAGATAGCTGAAACAGCCCAAATTTAAAACTCTTCAACAATGATGGTTATAATGGAAATGGTGACAGATCATTAACCATAGCAGTCCTTTAGAGAAACACTGCAATAATAAAATCCTGAAGCTAAAATTAAAGAATACCATAATCACCATATTTGCTAATGCCTGCGAAATGCATAAATCGGTTAAACTAATGTAAAGTGGATACCATCTATTAAATCTGACTGTTGAGCCTCAAGCCTAAACCTCTGACTACCAGCTGTTGTGAACTGCAGGTGGGTCTTTAAAATGCAGGGCATGTTTTCTGATTCCCCCACAATGAATACTAATGGCACTGATAACTGGTTTAAGTTCTACCCTTTTTAGAGTCTAAAAGAGATTTTTATTAACTGAAATGAAAGAGAAGATCATGATAAATCTGTCTTTTGGAAACTGATTTCATTTCACTAGATACGACAGAACATAACAGTATCGGTGAACTTTAGAACTGGCAGTGCACGCCGCACTTTATAGAAGCTTTAAAATATTATCTAGTCTTTCTTTTGGATTAGTACTATAAAATACTTCCCACGACAGATTCATTCATCACTCTTAGTTCTTCTTATATGCCATGCACTATGGACACAAAAATAATGAAGACACAGTCCATGCCTTCAAGGAATATATCAGCTAGCAGGGGAGAGAAGCACACAAATTAAGAACAGACTACATACAAGCATATCTGAGTACAGCTGGATACTAGAAACATAGTGATGTGAGATGGAGGCAAGGGTCTATCTGTGTGACACAAGGGCTGGATCTTAAAACACACACAGTAGTTGCCAAAGGTTTTGAAAAGCTCGCATTTCACATGCTACTACCAGTACTTTACTACCTTAGCAACTTCGTTTTATCTTGCCCTTCCTTGATTACTGGTGTTATTATGAGCAAGGAATGGTTCTGAGTAAACTCACGGCATTACAGATAATTTACGGCATTCAGTTGTTTGGGTCTTACTCCTTTCTGACCCCCTGCCACTGTACAATTTAAGAAGGAGCCAAAGTATTCCACTTTCTTTTTCCTCTATGCCACTGGCTCAGTGTCTAACAGATAACCCTCCATGTATGATGGCCCAGGGAGGCTGGACTTCACTTGTTCTAAAAATGGCAGGGCTGTAGTTGAGAAGGGTATATATAGCTAGACTTACTGCTTTCCTGGTACATTCACTTCTGCATTTGACAAATGTAAGCTACTTTTCTTTAATAAAACCACAAAAGCCTGTATTTTTTAGGTATTTCTCTGAATGTGTGAAGTTTCTTCTCTCAAACTTATCTGTGTAGTGAGAATTACTCTAACAAATAGAAAACAATCTTTATGCAAAAGAGCCATGAAAAAAAAAAAAGGTAGGAGGCACTAGTTTATCCATGGATTCTGCCTATATTCTGTCAGGATCAAGTAATATTAAAAGAAATTAAACTTAACAGTGAAATGAAAGATAAAATCTCAGACTTACTTACCAAACTGCATGCCCCAATCTCCAAGGTAATTTATTCTGGTTACTTGATGTCCTAATGCTTCTTCGAGATTTGCTATAAAATTTCCTAGTAATCAACAAAATAGTTTCTCATTCTTGTTATCCATTTTGGCATAAGAACCATGTGCTTCTGTATTATCAAAGCGTAACACAGAAAATTTTTTTTGACAAAATTTACCAACTCGATTTTTTTTACTAAAATATTCATTATGGTGTTTTCATCTACATTAGGAAAGGGAGTAGAGAATTATTTTGGGGGCAGTTAGTTATTCCAAAGAATCTCACAATTTTCACAACAACAGTATTTTCAGCAACATCCATGGGAGTTGGGAATACAAGTTAGAATAACAATTTCAAAGACAGAAAAGAACAGAATCTCAGTAATTAACAAGAAATAATTTGGCTAAGCCTTAAAGAGCCTGAGCCATACTGTGTCTTTTCTTGATAGCTCACTCTTCCTTCTTTGAATCACTTAAGTCTGTCTCCTCATGCCTGCTCCCTAAGAGTACCAGGGAGTTCAAGAACTTCATCTTCTTATACTGCTGACACTGGTTTGACATTCAGCATCCACTCCACTCTCCTAGTGTGCCCTCCCCTGCTGCAGAGGCTGGAAACCTAAAAATTCCATTTCTCAGAAGCTCCTGCAGTTAGGGTTTCAGGAGTCATTTACGTTTGGGCATTCAGATACACTGTGCATGAGACTTAGAAGGCAGAAATGAAGTGAAAGGGGGAGCTACTTCTATTTTTTCCTGATAAGCATAGCTGTGGAGTGTGGAGGCTTTTTTTTTTTTTTTTTTTGGTGGCATCACTAGTAGAGAGCACAGTATCCTGTCATATGACTTCCACGGGAACTGAAAGGATATGGGGCTGCCTTTTTTGCTAATATGAATTCTAGAAAGCCTGACAGGTCTAATGGCAGCTTCCTGTGACTGTGATAGCATGGTTGCCACAGGAAGGGACTGCAGAAAAGGCAGAAGCTCTCTTCATGACCAAGCTCTATGGTACGATTTTGGGAGTCATTTAGGTTACTTAATCCAAAACTTCTTCAGCACTTCCAACAACTTTGCAAACTATTCAGTATCCTGTAATAAATCCTTGCTTGCTTTTCCAACAGTGGATTTAGTTTTCTGCAAATAATCCTTCACCAATATACATATCTGACTTAAATTACAACAGCTACTTTTCTAGCTTCCCTACTTTTAGACTTTCGCAGTCTACATACGTAGTTCCAACAGCAACCTTCTTCAGCTGCTACTCAAACTATATTCCTATTTTTAATTAATTTTTAAATTAGCAACTTATTATCCTACAAACCAACCAAATGACACAAACCTAGGCTTTTGGAATGATTTTGGAAAATTTACTTTTGGCATATGAGTTTCCATAGACCACAGTTAACAGGTTTAACAAATAGGACTGTTGTGAAATTAACTGAACTAATACATGAAAACTTCAGACATGGTAAATGAATTCCCAGTATTCTCTCTTCCTGGTCCAAAATTTTCCTTAACAACTTTCAAACAACTTTACTATGCTCTGTCCATCATTTATTTTTGGCCTGAGTAAGTAGCTTTTCATATATAGTATGTTTTTTATATTCTTTTTAAAATCAAGTCCTGTCATTTTCTCTCTTAAAATGCCCCACAAGATCTTTCCAACAATGACAGGTGACTCTAGTTCATTAATGATCTATGCCACAAAGTAAGGGCTGCTTCAACTCTTAAAAGTATTCAAATGACAGGTTAAATGACTCTCCCTCAAGCATGTAATAGATTTGCATACCAGAAGATAACACTGGATGAGAAACTTCAAAGTCTCTTTCAATTCTAACTGCAGTTTCAAACTGGGCTACTGCATCACATCATGTTTTAAATAAATGAAAATCTTAGCATATACATCTACACTGAAGCATTACAACTATGAAGTACAATAGCAATCTTTCTTAGAACAGTCTTATTTCAATTTCCACTCTTGAATGCTCCAGTTAGTACTCAAATGATTGAGACTGAGCTTCTTTTTTAATTGAGATATAATTAATATATAACACCGTTTCTTTTTTTAAAACAAAGTATATGAACCAAAAACCTGGGGGGATTATTATCATCCCCATGTAACTATCTTCATTTTGCATCTTTCAGATCTTCTTTATATGCATACATATTTTTAAAAAGTTAAAATTATTAACAAACCTAACAGTTAAAATCAGTTTGAGTTAACCTTTTGGTTTTGAAACGATTTTTTTTTTTTACTTCTAAACCAATTTTTCCCATTTTATGTAATATTTAATTAGCATCAAGCTCATATAAATTTGAACTTTGTTTTTTGTCTTATTGTTATTTAAGCATTAAACCATTAGAATGCATTATAAAATACTGCCCCAAAGTCGTGTTTTGTATGAAACTAATGACACTTACCTATGATGGTAGAACGCAAATGTCCAACATGAAATTTTTTGGCAACGTTGGGTGAACTGCAAGTAATTCCAAAAGTTATATTTCTGTTCTAAGAACAAGAGTTCTAAAATCAACTAGGTCATGCCTCCACAGTTTAACACAATTGGGGATTAAGGCCTTTGGTAATTTAGGGCAAAGATAAGTGAAAAATTAGAAATTTAGAGCAATGATAAATTAGAACTCAGAAAGAATCATCCTTAGTGAAATTGATCCTGTCACTCATGAGGTAGTACCATACACAGAGAATGGCACACTTAGGAAAGATACATTTAAGGATTGATAAAAAGGATGAAGAAATTCAGAGATATTTTTCTGACACAAAAACAATGCAGATTATTAGGAATTAAACTTTGTGTACTAGATGTAAACTCTTTATCCTCTAAAAAATTACTGACCCCAAAGAAATTTTGTTTACATTGGGTATTATCTATCAAAAGTTGTAATCGATAATTTGACAACAGCAAATGTTTCTAGAGCACTCACTACCTGACAGGCACAGTTTCATGCACTTTACATACATTAACCCATTTAATTCTCCTAAGAGTTGCGAGCTAAGGTGCCCTCATCTCTTACTTTACAGATGAGGGGACTAAAGCAACATGGAAAAAGGATAATGAAGCAAATGTGGCAATATCTTGACGACTCTTGAATCTGGTGAAAAGGATATGGGACTTAATTATACTGTTATGTTCTGCATATGTCTGAAAATTTAACACAGGTTTCTCAATATTAGAAAATAATAAGTTAACTTGAACACAGCTAGATAAAAGTAGTAAAATGAGAACTTAATTTGATCTATTTCTAAAGACTTATATAAAGGATATTATAATTTAAATACTTGATGCTATATTAGTATGTGCACAATTGTGAAATTATGACACTACAAGAATGCTCATTTAATCATTATTGAGGAAGAAAGCAAATGTCCTTCTATAGGTTAAAAAACAAGGAATCTTCCACTTCCCACCAAGACAGAATAATAAGGATGGGATTTACCCTTCTGCCTTAAACAACCATAAAACCAGAAAAATATATGAAACACTAGTTTTATAAACTGGATGGTGAAGGACTGTGATCCCTGACAGAATGAGAACAAACAAGTTTACCCCTAGCAAATTAAATAGCAAATCTGTGAGCTAAAGCAGAGAAATCTATAGCGTGGAATGTATTAGAAAAGAAGAAAGGTTTCAAACCAGTAAGTAACCTAAGGTTCTCGTTAAGAAACAAGAAAAGGAGGACCAAAATAAGCAGAATAAAGTAGATTTTATTTTTTAATTTAAATTATTCATGGTAACAGATGTTTTTATTTAAATTCAATCAGCCAACATATAGTACATCATTAGTTTCAGATGTAGTGTTCAACAATTTATCAGCTGTGTGTAACACCCAGTGCTCATTATTTCACATACCCTCTTTAATGCCCATCACCCAATTACCCCATCCTCTCCATCTACCTCCCCTCCAGCAACCCTCAGTTTGTTCCCTAGTTAAGAGTCCCTTACGGTTTTTCTCTCTCTGATAACTTCCTGTTCAGTTTCCCCTCTCTTCCCCTATGATCCTCTGTGCTGTTTCCTACAAAGTTGTTTTTAAAAAAATGACAATAAAATACTATGAAATAAAAATAATAAGGCAGCTGAGAGACACTGAGGAGAGAGAGAGATGCCTGGCCAGCCCTCAGGTAAGCTGCCAGACAAGTAAATGAGTCACCTGGATTTCTAGCCCCAGTACAGTCTCTACATGACCAGAACTACAAATGACAACATGCAAGTCAAAGAACCACTGCGCTAAGCCATCCATGATTTCAAGAGCTACAGGGTCATGAACATTAAAATGGTTGTCTCAAGACACTAGTCATGAGTTGATACACTTTTCCTTAAAGAATCAGACAGTAAATATTTTAGGCTTGTGGGCCACCTGATCTCTATCTCAACTGTTCCATTCAATTCTACTCAACTGCCACTGTAGTATGAGAAAGCAGCCACTGTAGTCAACATGTAAATGAAAGTGCAAGCCTAGTTCCAATAAAACTTTATTTACAAAAACATATGGCAGGTTGGATTTTGCCCATGTGCTGAAATTTGTCAATTCCTGTATTAAATGTTAGAGTAGCTTGTTATACAACTTTCTTTGAGGGAAAAGAGCAGGCAACTTTCTTTGAGGGATGGCCTTCATGCAATTCCTCTCTGGTGTGAAGATGACCTCATGAAGTCCCTCTCCTCTCTGTGATACAACTAATGTCTAAACTCAACTTAAAATATGATTGGGGTGTAATGGTAGTATAAGATTTATCCATAATATCTGTTTACTCCATAGGAGCATGAGTTTACTCACCATCAGTCCTTACCATAAACAAGTTTACTGAATCTCAGAGAGTCTGTCTTTTTTGAGAGTGGCAGAGACAGTACAAGTGAGGAATATATAAAACCTTCTCTTGCCTCTGGTTATCTGGGTGCTGACCATAACTAAGTCTGTTACCACAATAAGTCATAATAAAGAATTAGGAAATCTGAAATAATTCCCTCATCATTTTTTAAAAAATTCTCCACAGGAATATATAGTTAAGAAAATAAAAGGGTACAGCAAGTTCTAACTTTCCAAATGGGGAAACAGTTCATCAAGACTCGTTCACTTTTAGGAAGGCAAATAAAATTACAATATAGTATCTCTGATCTTTTCCATGAGCTGTCAACCGGTCAGCTATCTCTGAAAGTACTCCCTTTCTGTTTTGGTTGCCTAAAAACAGCTCAAAAATTAGACAGATATACTGACAGTGCAACAGGAAGTAATGAGAATTATTTAGAGGCATATTAAAACTTAAAACTAGTTTTCTGTAATTTAAAAAATATACATTACAAATACTACAAAGGCTTTGTTCTCTGGTAATCACATTACTTTAAAATTCTTAATATGGTAGTAACCATTACCTCGGCTTTAAGAGTCTACAAAGATGGAATAAGTACTTCTTCTAAAAAAAAAAGTTAACTATTAAATACTTAATTAAAAAAACCCATAATCACCAGACTTTTTTTTATTGGAGTCTAAAATTTTTATTCATGGTACAGTGATCAGTTCACTGTAATATTAAGAAAATAATATAATCTCACTGGTTTTCTGTTTTTCCATGTGTTATATCCTGAGGCCCCAGATGATAATGGTAAAACACTTACCTGCCCAGCTACCTTGACTAACCAACACATAAAATGAGTAGGCACTCACCTGAATTCAACCACGATCTTCTTCTGGGGAAGACCAGAGAAAAGCTCGCTTTTTAATCCATATTTTGAGCCATCATTGATTACTTGTTGTAGTACTGTCTGAAAAGTAAAACACATGGAATTTACAGAATTTACATGGAATTTACAGAAAAAAAATTGCGATTTTCTTAATTACTTCATTTACTCATTCTAATTTACAGATCTCAGAATTTCACAGCATTGTCAGCACCACCATGTTCTGTTGCTAATGCTAGTCAAAACAGTAATAACCAGAACTAACATCTATGGGGGCTCTGTGCCCTTTTTATACATCACCTATATTCATTCTTACAGGAACCAATGATATAGATATTATACAGATAAAGAAACTTAAGTTTAGGGAGGTTAAATAACTGTTGAAAGTCCCACAGCAAATAGTAACACCAAAACCAGAAGGAGCATCTAATACTTATTGAATGCGTACTATACGCTGGGCACTGTTCTGAGCATTTCCTATGTATTAACTCACTTATTCCTCACAACAACCCTAGGAGATAAGTATTATTTTTTATGAATGAGGAAAGAGAAGCACAGAGAAGTTAACTTTCTCACCATCATACTCTATTAGGCTACATGGCAAAACCTTTTTCACGCCATAGCTAATGTGTTAACTACTGCATGCCACTGCTACTTTTGTATTACTAAGGATCACAAGAAATGGTAGAAAACAAATAAAAAATTTTAATTCAAATGCCTACTGGCTACATATACAAAAAACAAGGAAAACTAACAGAAACAACCGAAACATATTCCAGGTTCATTTCTAGAAATGTACATAGGTTATATGGTTCACAAAATTCATACTTTGTTTTTTGCTAATGGTGTGATGTGTTTATTTATAAATGTATTTATTTTTTAGTTAGGGGTTTGAATTTACTGTAATGGGCTATTTACTCTTACATTGGTTTTACTTCACAAACTGGATTCTGAGTCCTAAATATGTAGTTTACAATGTGAAGAATTTTACTATCTTAAGAGTTTATTAAGATGCTCACTTAATGGAAAAGGCAGACAAAGCAGCAGGAGGTAGCAAAGCAATACTTTTAAGAAGCATACAAAGTGCTCGGTTAAAGTCCAGATGCTTTTATGTTATCTTTAAGCCTCACAATCTTAAAAATGGACATTTCCCATTTAATAGATGTAAAAACTAAGGTTCAGAAACAGTATGTAGTTGTACAAGGACAGAAGAAATAATATTCCTTTCACTCACACTATATAGTAGGACACAGAAAGAAAGGATTAACATATAGAGACATTAAAGAGAACAGTGCCTGTTATACCTCAGGGGCCCATTAAATGTTAATTATTTACTCCAAGACAATAGCTGACAAGGCTGCAAGTAGGTAGGTAAATATTAGTGAGGAGGAATTCAGAGTCAGATTATTCTGAAGTTAACATTCTACCCATCCATGTCACTTTCCATCCCTTTATATGTAATGGATGGTAGATTCCACAAAAGGCAATCATAGGAAGTTAAGCTCTCCCTGAAAAAATGACCCTTAGTTCATTGATATTTCTCTAGCACAAACAAAAAAAGCAACTTTAATGAAGGACTATCTTACATGCCCCACTTCTAAACCTTCCATTGACAATCTGATCCCTCTGCTACCTAGAGCTTCCTTTTCTACTATTCACTCTAAGGGCTCTCAAAATTAGAATGAGAAATGCCACACCTGGGGCCCGTGGGTGGTTCAGTCAGTTAAGTGTCTGCCTTCAGGTCAGGTCATGATCTCAGGGTTTTGGGATGGAGCCCCACATCGGGCTCGTGCTAGGCGGGGAGCCTGCTTCTCCCTCTCCTCTCCGTTTGCCCCTCCTCCCTCATTGTGCTTTTTCTCTCATAAATGAATAAATAAAATCTTAAAAAAAAAAAAAAAGAATGCCACACCTAACTGAATGCTTAAATTGTTTAATGCAGTACTACTTTTATGAGTACATTTTTTTGTAAAATAAAAAAAAAATTAAACGAATAAGGCAAAAGTCTAGAGTCCCTTTTGATCATCCACCCTAACCCGCCCTCCCCAGGGCGACTACTTTTCTAACATCAGCTTAGCTGATGACTACTCTCCTTGCAACCACTGACCCTCCTTGGTTTTAAGGGTATTAAGCTCTACTGACTTCTACTTCTCAGTTTCCTTTGCAGGCTCCTTTTCCACTGCCTGCTGCCCCACTCCCTATGCTGTGCTTCCTTCTTGCTTCTAGCTCCTTACTTCATACGTCCCCTAGGTATAAAGTCCTAAGACTTCAACTACTACTTACCTAATAAAATATTTCCTGTGCCACAGACTGGTATGTCCAACTCCAAGATCTGAAGTGCCTGAGATGTGCAATGGAATATACTCCTCTTCCTTCTGCAGTCTCCATCTACATGAACTTTACCGCCTCACCCAGCTAACCAAGTCAAAGACCCGGGAGTACCTAAGATTTACCCTTTTCCCTCAAACTTCATAATCAACCACCTATTAATCACCAAATCCTGCACCTGCCACTGCCTATCGTTATAGTTATCCCCTCTGTCCTGTTTAGAACCTCATCATCCGTCAGCTATACCACTACAAAAACAACAAAACAATAATACATAACTATCTCCTTATATAACATGTAAATTTAATTAGATCTATGTTCTACTTAAACCCTTCAATAATTCCAAGACATCTAAAAGATTTTATCAATTTCTGGTTTTTTACTTTACATGCATTTTGCCTTTGTTTCATAATTTTAAGAAAACTGGTTTGTTAAATGGCACATTATAACATCCGTAAAAACCATAAGGTAGAAGTATTAGGGTCTTATTTTTTTGGTAATAAATATACAATATTAAAATGAGGTGAATTTTATTAGTGTAATACTAAAAAATTATCAAGCATACCACCTGTGGTACACATAACACACCATGGAAAATGATGACAGAGGAAAAAGCTGAAATTCTAACGCAGGGCATATAAGGCCCTTCACACTGTATAATTTCATACCCTCCCCCATGTCATCCTATGTGTGAACCATACTCTATCACCACTGATTTCCAGACAATGCCATGTTCTTGACCTTCTGTACTCTGGCCCAGGCTATCTTCTCTGCCTGAATGCCTGCATTTATATCTCCCAGATATAGCTGTCTTTTCTTTTTTTTTTTTAAAGATTAAAAAAAAATTTTTTTTTGTTTTTAAGTAATGTCTATACCCAGGTGTCTGGGTGGCTCAGTCAGTTGAGTGTCTGCCTTCAGCTCAGGTCATGATCCTGGGGTCCTGGGATCGCACCCCACGTCACTCCCGGCTCAGTGGGAGTCTGTTTCTCCCTCTCCCTCTCCTACTGTTTCTCTCTCTCTCTCTGTATCAAATAATAAATAAAATCTTTATTTAAAAAAAAAAAAGGACTGTCTACACCAAACATGAGGCTTGAATCCACAACCCCGATATTAAGAGTGGCATCCACTTTTGCCCAGTTGAAGATTACCTCTTCACTCCTCAAGTTAGACTTACGTGTACCTTTCTTTACATTGGATTGCGGCTTACACATGCCTCCACTGTATCATGCATCACATTATCATATCCACTACACATTACACTGATATTTTTTATGCTTTTCTTTTAGATCATAAGCTCCTTGAGGGCAGAACACATGCCACTTTATCTTTAGATTTCAGTAACATAGTCTGTGGCAAATAATAAACAGAAAGTTTATTAAATTGTGGCAAAAGCTTTAAACTATAGAATGTCAGTGAGCTAGTAAAGTTCCTTGATATTCCGATAGATGAATAAGCTAGAGGTCCATCTACTCCTCGTTAAGTACGTTAAAATATAAGATGCTCTTATAAGAACTTCTACAGAAGCTACTACTACCTATTTGTTTTTTGGTCAATCCTTGAAAAGAGTTTAATCATTCATTCCTTCCATGTGCGCAGCCACTTGGCACGACATGTGACTTGAATGCGTCTATTGCCTTCTGGCTTAATCTCAGTTAGCAAAATAATGAGCAGAATCAGAGCCATTTAAATTAGTATCTCTTTTTCTTTTTTTCCTTAAGTTTTTTTAATAGAGCATGCAAAGTTGAATCTGGCAAATGAAAAAATACAGGTATACATGTAAAATAAAAATGATGTTATCCATTGTGTACTTTTAAGGCACAACTAAAAAAAGAGGATTTTGTTTGCCTTTTTCCTTTTTAGTTAAACTCATATTTTTTTTTCTCCCCTTAAATGAATTAACTATTATTTTAAATTACTCTTTTTTTTTTTTTTTTTTGACAGAGATCAAAAGTAGGCAGAGAGGCAGGCAGAGAGAGAGAGAGGAGGAAGCAGGCTCCCCGCAGAGCAGAGAGCCCGATGCGGGGCTCGATCCCAGGACCCTGGGATCATGACCTGAGCCGAAGGCAGAGGCTTTAACCCACTGAGCCACCAGGCGCCCCTTAAATTACTTTTGAAAGTCATCTGTAAGCTACTGACAGGCAGAAGCTTGACACCAAACTGACAGCTCTTCACGATGTATGAATTGGTCATACCACCTTATGGTTTTGAAAAATTCATTATCTAGTTCCAATGATTTGGCAGTTCCTACTGTCTTTAATTTCACATTCTAGTCTCCTATGTTTGAGGATGATTTACACAAAGACATTATACTGCCGCAGTTAGTGATCCAAACTTAAGCTAACATTTAATCAATTCCTGGGGCTGCCAGTGTTAATTCAATTGCAATGCGTAAACAGATACGTTTTATGCAAGGCTAAGTTTGTACATGTGTAAGCAATGACAAATTCATAATTCCCTGCTTGAAAAGTAAGTTTCGGACACAGGTCACTGGCTACATGTCAATCTTGATGACTTTAATATGTAAAAATATGTATTAATAACGGTCCCAAAGGGTTGAATTTTTTTCCTGATGTGATCTGAAAAATTCATTATACATGCAAATGACCATTCTTTAAAACCTGAAAATAATGAAGCCAGATGTAGAAGAATTTAAGTTTTGAGCAAACAAGGCTTATCATTAAAAAACTGTAACTTTTAACCAGGCACATTCAATATTCCTTTTTCTGACTATGGGTGTTCACTAGTTTAGGATGTATGAGCAGGGCTACTGTGAGCAATCTGCTTGTTCCTTTAATAAAAATCACACTAAGATCCAGGCATTCAAGGCTACAGTGAGGGAGGATTTCCAGGTGATAAAGAGTAGCCAGACCTCAAAGCCCTAGATCTTGTCCCTGTGTTGTCAACTGAGAAGGATCTGGGAATACTTTTAATAAGCAAGCTAGTGTGCATTCTTAAATCAGAGAAAATCTCATAGCTTGTTCACTGTAATAATAAAGCATGAAAATTCGTGGCCACTGACATTTTATTTTATTTTATTTATTTTTTTTTTGGCCACTGACATTTTAAAAGAAGTAAACACATGCCTTGCTTGATATATAAAACACATCTCTTTCAGTCAAGCTGGCTGTAAAGCAACATCATCTACTAGTACATTTTCCCATCTCAGGGAAAATAAAAGAGGTAAAATACTGCTGCCTATGAATTAGACTGAAGTTTGGTGGGCACTGTGGGGAGCTGCATTTCTGCTTCTATAAAAATCGAGACTGTTGGGGCGCCTGGGTGGCTTAGTGGGTTAAAGCCTCTGCCTTCAGCTCGGGTCATGATCCTGGGGTCCTGGAATCGAGCCCCGCATCGGGCTTTCTGCTCAGCAGGGAGCCTGCTTCCCCCTCTCTCTGTCTGCCTCTCTGCCTACTTGTGATCTCTCTCTCTCTGTCAAATAAATAAATAAAATCTTTGAAAAAAAAAAAAAATCGAGATTGTTGGGGCACCTGGGTGGCTCAGTCAGTTAACTGCCTGATTTTGGTTCAGGTCATGATCTCAGAGTCTTGGGGTCCTCCTCCCACTCATGCCGTCTAACAAATAAATATTATCTCTAATAAATAACTATTTATCTACTTACCATTTATTTGAGAGAGAGAGTGTTCAAGTGCATGGGAGCACAGGAAGGGGGAGGGGCAGAGGGAAAGGGAAAAGCAGGCTCTCCACTGAGTAGGGAGCCCAACATGGGGCTTGATTCCTGGGCCCTGGGATCATGACCTGAGCCGAAAGCAGATGCTTAACTGACTGAGCCACATAGGTGCCCCAATAAATAAAATCTTAAAAAAATATACTTGGGATCATAATCGGAAGAAAGAGTACTAATGTAGAAATGGTAAATTAGACTCAATGGTTTACTAAATTGACATGAAATGTTACCAACCAAGAGCCTAACAGACTGCAGACACTTTTCAACAAGCTCAAAACAAATTTCCTTTTTGTCCTTGTGACTGATTTTGGTTAATTATCTCTCTTTGAAGTACGAAGGATAAAAAGATAAAAGAAAAAAATTCAAGGATCTAGAGGCAAACATATTAACACGAACTCTCCCTTGGAAGACTGATAGGGCAGATGGGCAAATGTCTATAATCTGTATAATCTTGGTGAGAAATTATATTAGAAATTTTGGTTTTATAGTAATTTTCAATTCAAGACTGCAGCATTTCTAACCAACTCAAAACCAGTATTTCTTAAAAAACAAAACAAAATAACAGCCTAAAGCATGCATTATGATAAATTTTCAATTTCAACTGAGATGAAACTCTCAACGAAAGATCTCATACCACTGCCTATCCAGGATTACCTGTCCTCCAGTCTTACACGAGACCCAGTTCCTTTATGTCATTTCTCCAACTCTTCCAGGCCATCCTGAGTTTTCTTATCTTTCTTATGCTTATTGTATCAATCCAACTTTTGTTTTAATACTTGTTTTATTAAAAGAATAAGCTATCTTATAGTTTCATCTGTATAAATCTCATGCTACCAACAGATTACAGACTACCAGAGAGCCAAAACGAGCAGTACTTTTTGGGTATTCAATATAGAGTCCATTAATTTATTCAATAATAGTTATCTCACACCTACTGCATGCCAGGCACTGTGCTAGGAGCTGCGGATCCAACAGAGAGAAAAACAGATGCTATAAGCCCTAACAGAAATTAGTTTAAAGGGCAAGAGGCATTAATCAAATAAAAAGATGTATAATACCAACTATGATAAGTTCTGCAAAGGAGAGCTACCCACTGACGGTAGAGCACATAAACAAAGGGGACAGAAAGGCACAGCCCAGGAAATATCAAGAACTGAAGGGTAAGCAGGAGTTAACCTGGGGTGGCACTCCAGGAAGGAGAATCAGAATGGGTAAGGTTTTGAGGCAAGAGGAGGCGACGTTTAAGAACTGGGGGAAAACCACTGTAGCTAAATCAGACTGAGTAAAGGTGCATAGCTGGAACATAATCCATTCTTACCTTTGTTAATAGTTCTCTGTTAATTTTGAAATTTACAGTCCCTTGACCAGTGCTGATTTCGCTCACCACTGTATCACATTTTAGCTGAAAAGATTAAAAAAAAAATCAAGTAAAATTAAATATATTATAAAACAAGTGTAATGATATTTGTAGTTTTAATACTATCACTTTGGAGTCCAAACGCAGCAGGTGCATCATATCTCTGGCTAAGGCCCAGGTCTGGATATAATGACAATCTGTTCAATTCTATCACTTGACAAGTTTCCTCCTTTTCTAGCCTAGAATACTACTCTATCTTCAGAATCTCTTCTTCTTTCCCATTCTCTCACTTCAAATTCTCCACCTCACAAGGAAGGAAGCCAGTATCACTTCACCTCCCACCTGATGTGCCCTGACATGCAGTGAACTCTTTTTATCTCACCCACCTTGCAGAGAGCCACAGGACATTTAATTCTGTCAGGCCCTACGCCGCCAGCACTTGTACCCACACAAAAAATAGGTATCATTTAAATACTTGGTCTTCATTGAATATACCTTAAAATTTTAACCAACTAGATTTCTAAGCACCTGATATATCCGTGAAACTTGAAGAGATACCTGTTTTCACTGAGGAATCACTAGTCTTTATATTTGAGACTCACAGGATATGGGAGAAGGAACTAAATACCATAATCAGAACAATTCTACTCCTCGTGTACTTCCTGATAAAAATCTAGGTTGATTTTCTGATCAAATAAATATTTACTCAGCTACCAAAGCTCTTTGATTATACTCATTCTTTACACATCTTTTTCTATGATAGTGACTTTCATTGTTCCAATCCTTCAGTGTGCCCAGAAGCCTGTGTCACATGTAATAACCATATTTTAAAACCCCTGTTTTTTATGGTATTACATTAGTAATTTAGATTTGGTCATTCTCTACAATCCTTTCAATTCCCCTTTTAGATACCAAACCCAACAGAGAAATTAGAAATGAATGAGTTTATTAAATTATCTAGCCACTTCTTCTCTGTAATCATGATTCTATTTACACCTAATCATTTTTTCTCATATTTTAATGCTCATCTTCTCAGAAACTCATTTTAAAAATTGCAACCCACTGCTCTAATTTATCAAGCTTGTTCTCTTAAATTCAGAAGTCCATCCAGCTTCAATCTGTAAATTTAATTAACACGTCAGTCCTCCTGTAAGTAGTTAATCAAAAAATTGAACAATGTCAGCTCAAGAGGAATGCTTTATAGCTAATTTGAAAAATCATCTTAACCTTATAGCACATGGCTAAAATGAATTTAAATTGTATTTTCCAAGGTGCCTTGAACAAAAAAAACACTATTAAATTCATTATTATGCCTGAGATAGCCTGCAGAGTTTTTTCTTCTTTACTAAGTTTGTTATAATGTCTAAAAAAGATAATAGTGCTGAAGTACCTTCTCTGCCAGTCTTGTGGCTTGAACTTGAATATCTGGTCTTGAATGGTCATTGTTGTTTTCCAATAGAGAATCCACAGAGAGCTGAAAATCAGCTACTTCTCTAAAGACAGAAAACAAAATAGGAAAAAGCTATAATATCTTAAAAACATTACTAGTGTAACAACAACAGTAACAACTAACCATTATGGATTCTTCAATACAATTTTATCAGAAGGAAAAGGTTTTGCTTTAAAAATATAAAGCAAAGAAATTAGAAATATCAACTTGTATTTATTTAGAACTTTATCTTCTAAAGTTCTTCATCTTCTATTCCTCTTCTAATACCTAACTGTAACTTTATTATATCTCTGTGAGATAGGTAGTTCAAAGTGTAATAAAAAATTTAACTGATGTATAAACATCTAGGTAATTACCCAGCTAAAACATCTTTTGACATTTAATAAGGAACTAGAGGGGGCGCCTGGGTGGCTCAGCTGTTAAGTGGCTGCCTTCGGCTCAGGTATGATCCTGGGGTCCTGGGATTGAGCCCCATGTCTGTCTCCCTGCTTGGTGGGAGGCTGCTTCTCCCTCTCCCTCTTCCCCTGCTTGTGGTAACACTTGCTGTGTCTGCCAAATAAATAAATAAATAAATCTTTAAAAGAAAAAAAAAAAAAGGGAACTAGAAAATGAGATTCCATGGGCACAGTAAGTGATTAAACCACTGTTTAACCCACTGCCACTGAAACAAAAGGACCTATTTTAGAGGGGGTACAAATGACTTCATTTTTATCACTCTTGACATTCAGGGATATGCCTAAAATATCTTATGATATCTGTTTTACATCACATTAAGCCACCTGGTCAACAAAGACCATTATGAATTTTCTTGAGCCTTGAGGCACATGGGTGGCGCAGTCAGCTGGGTGTCTGCTCTTGATTCTGGCTCAGGTCATGATATTAGGGTTGTGGGACTGAGTCCAGTGTCAGCTCTGAGCTAGACACGGAGACTGCTTGGGATTCTCCTCTCCTTTTCTCTCTGCGCTCTCCCTCACCCCTGCCACCCCACTCATGTATTCACTCTCCAAAAAAAAAAAAATATATATATATATATATAGAGAGAGAGAGAGAGAGAGAGAGAGAAGAAAAAAATACTTTTCTTGAGATCCTTCCCAATATTTATTCTCTATAAACCAAAGGTATAGTGAAATATAGTATCATTAAAGTAGAACTGCCCAAAGGAGCTCCAGGCAGGTAAAGAAAATCTTTTTCAAAAGATGGGCCAAGGGGCACCTGGATGGCTCAGTCGGTTAAGCAGCTGTCTTGGGTTCAGGTCATCAGCCCAGGGTCCTGAGATGGAGCCCAACATCGGGCTCCCTGCTCAGTGGAGAGCCTGCTTTTCCCTCTCCCTGATGCTCTATCTATGCTCTCTAGTTCTCTGTCAGATAAATAAATAATATCTTAAAAAAAAAAAAAGATGGGCCAAGATTGTTTAGCTTATTAAAGGCCCCTGACACATAAAATAAAAAGCAGGGATTTTCATTATTATTTTATTATTATGCAAAATGCCATTTATAGATTTTATGAAATAGGTAAATGGCTTCAAATATAACCTTAATAGATGAGTAATTACAAGATCCCCTTGGTCTGTGGTTGCCTTTGTTCTTAGAACTCAATGTAAAGTAAGCTGCAGCAGGACACTTTAAAGATGCTTTCTTTCAACAAGGCCAAATGTAGCCTTTCTCTTCCTCTTCCACTTACTCTTTGTCTATTCCTGGAACAATAATCTTCATCCTACCCTCTCCTGAAATCCTGACAAAGTTAAGGAGACAAAATATTCAGACATAATGGTAATGATAATTATATCTTCCCAAAGCTTTGGGCTTAAATGCCTACTATGTAGCTAATTTCTTGTCATTATTAATTAACTGAGAGGGCATTTTATCCAAGTACATATTTTTTTTTAGCCAAATGGTAAAGAAGCATCAGTCAGAAGGACCAATCTCATAAAAGATATCTTCCTGTATCCAAGAAAGGAACTAAGGGTTATATGTTTTCTATCACCAGGCGTTCTCAAATGGAATCAAACAAAAAAACCTGAAAACCACAAAAAACCCTGGTAGGTAAATACAGCACTAGAGTTTTCAAGCATCAGATAGTGTATAATCTCTAAAATCCCTTCAAAAACCCTGAAAAAAAAAATTTTTTTTTTTAAGAGAGTGAGTGAGAGAGAGAAGCAGGGGGAGGGGCAGAGGGAGAGGGAGAAGCAGACTCTCCGCTGAGCAGGGACTCTGGGATCACGACTGGAGCTGAAGGCAGATGCCCAACTGACTGAGCCACCAAGGCACCCCCCAAAACCCTGAAATTTTAACTGCAATATTAGTCCTTTTATTTGCTGTCACAGAATTAAATTTTGACCTTGTTCCTAATTTTCCTTAAAGACTTTGCCATAATTATCATTAATAGCATAAACATCAAACACCATAAGAGTACTAATTTAATGTGCCATGTCAAAATAGGTAAAATACAGATTTTATTTCACTATTTAAGTGAATGGGAATAACAGGTTACAACGTATTTTATGGTTTATTTCAAGGTCTATTCTGTAAATTGAACTTTTTTTTTTTTTTTTTTTTTGCATAGTGACAAAGTCAGCAACATTTTAAGTTGTTACAAATACTTAACTCTTTTCTGGAAATTGGAACTGCAGATATTGCCTTGATCAAGTTTTCTGGTGGAAGATCTAACACTCTGGAAAGCTGAACATTAAAAAAAAAAAAAAGGCAAGATTGTTAATAATTTGTACCAGATTCAACGCAATACTACTCAACAAAAAGAATATTCAGATACTTAACTTAAATAAGCCTCAAATGCACTATGCTAAGTGACAAAAACCCAACTCTGTTAACAGACTATATAGTATATGATTTTATTTACCTGACATTCTGAAAAACCCAAAACTATGAGAGAGAGAGAGAGAGAGAGAGAATCTTAAGCAGGCTCCAACTTGGTGCAGAGCCCCACACAGGGATGGATCTCACGACCCTAAGATCATGACCTGAGCTGAAATGAAAAGTCAGATGCCCTATCAACTAAGCCACCCAGGTGCCCCTTAGTATATGTTGATTTTTGAATTCATGTCTCAGAGTACAGTCTTCATTTTTAAATTCTAGTCATTGGAAACTGCATTACAAAAGCCTCTACAAAAAAGGTTATTTCCTTAGGCCATTTTCCTAGGAGTGGATAAACATTTCCACCACATTTATAGAATAAAGGCTGTAACAGTTCATGTTTATATTACAAAGAGTTCTTGCCAATATAGGTACACCAATAAGAGAGGTTCTATTAAAATTTCTTTTAGAAAAAAGAAAAAAATGATTCAAATTCCAGGTCCACTTTTACTAGCTATAAGTCCAAGGGAAAGCCATCTTACATAAATGAGCTTAAGCTTTCACGTATGAAAAATGGGGATAATCTATTAAACTAGGGTTCTCAGACACCTTGTTGACTCAGTTGGTTAAGTGACTGCCTTCCGCTCAGATCATGATCCTGGAGTCCCAGGACTGAGTCCTTCATTCGGCTCCATGATCAGCAAGGAGTCTGCTTCTCCCTCTGACCCTCCCCACTCTGATGCTTTCTCTCATTCTCTCTCAATAAATAAATACAAACTCTTAAAAAAAAAAAAAGCGTTCTTATAAGGATTAAGAAAAATGTGTCACACAATAAGCATGTGATAAATATTCTCTTCTTCTTTTAAAATTAAGGTTTTATTTTGGACATTGTAAGGGCCTACTTAGCCAGAGCGATTTCATCTCGGTTAAGCAGTGATTTTGTTGTTTATGCAGTAAAACTTAAATTGACCCTGCCCCCTGCCCCCCTCCAGGGGAATTTACTTAAAAGCAAGTCCGGGAAACCAGTAAAATATGGTCAACCAGTCCCTGATAACAGAGCCCAAATACAAGGGCGGTTCAGGTCAGGTGGAGATAACAGAGCCCAAATACCAGGGATGAGTCGGGCCAGGTGGAGACATCCAATCAGTGGAGCGCGCATACTGTCTCCCTAGCTACCAAGGAATGTGGGCCCTGCCTTTTGGGCGCCAATTCTGACCAAAGTGATAGGCTAGTTCAAATAGTTACTATGGGGTGAATCGTAATTCAATTGGCCACCCGTGTGTGACCTAGCATGACTGTGCAGCTTTCTCTGTGTGCTGCAATCTCATTGGCCACCTGTGTGTGGCCAGGCTCAACCACATGGCCTTTGCTCTATAAAAGTTAGTCTGTGAGGCAGGGAGTCGTCACTCTCTCTGTAAGAGGCGGCCCTGACCAGCAGGTTTGATTTTCGATGCTTGGCGCGAAATAAAGCTTTGCTTGTCCTTCGCTTTGTATCAGTCTCTCTCCTTTGGTCACGGACCCTAACAGACATAACGTCTCCCAAACTTACCATAACCACTAAGATTTTATGCCTATCTTAAATATAAAGTCTGCTGGAAAACAAAACAATACAAAACTTAGTTATATAGGTCAATTTTAACGTTTTTCAGCTGACAAATAAGTTTTGAACTTCGGTAATAAAATGTTTACATCCAAATGAGCAACACACAAAAAATTCTGTTTCCAATATGAACTAAAAATTACTTAAAAAGTGCTTATTTCTGGGGTGCTTGGGTGGCTCAGCGGGTTAAGTGCCAGCCAGTCTTTGGCTCGGGTCATGATCCTGGGGTCCCTGCCTGGTAGGGGAGTCTCCTCCTCTCTCCCCCTCAGCCACCCCAACCCCTTGTGCTCTCTCTCGCTCTCTCTCAAATAAATAAAATCTTCAAAAGAATTGCTTATTTCTTTTATTATATCTCTGTTGCTCCAAAAAAAGGCTCTGAGGGGAATTAACACATAAAAATGAAATGGAGGTATAAAATCATACCAGAAAACTCAAGGTCAAGATAGTTACTATGCTTTTTGGCAACCAAGGTACAAAAAGGAATCTAACTATATAATACAGTGCTGCCTGGCAACAAACTTTTCCTAAAAGTAAATTCTAAGACCAAGTTATATTCACGAAAATTTAAATATCAAAATAGAAAATATCTTCAATAGCAGTTTCCCAAAGGCACAGAAACATATTTATATGATGTAAGTTAGAAAACCAAAATAAAAAGACTGATGGAAAAGGAGAAATGGAGAGTCACTGGTTACAAGGAGCAGAGAGTTTCAGTTTTACAAATGAAGAGTCTGGATAGGGTTGGTGGTGATGGTTGCATAGCCATGTTAGTGGACTTAATGCCACTGAACTGCACACTTAAAAATACTTAAAATGGTAAATTTTATGTTGTATGTATTTTCCCATAATTAAAAACAAAACAAATTTAAAAAACCTTAAAAGACTCTGGGATAAGTAGGGGAATGAAGCCTTCTTTACATTATCTCCCAACTCCCAACTTCCACCCATTATCAAATTAAAATGGAAAGGGTGGAAGAAAGAATAGAGAAAGGAAAGGAAGGTAGGTCATACATAGGCAGATTGGTTGGTTGGTTCTCCAGCAACAAACAGGATAGGCACAGTCCAAAGTTACAAACTTCAAAAGGGACAGCCAAGGAGACAAACCACAACTTGTGAAGAAGAATGGAGCAGCCTTGTTTGGCAAGCCTCTTAACTTGAATTAACAATTCTCATCAATACTCCAAGCTGAAGAGGAAAAAAATGAATCCCATTATTTTTTTCATCTGTGATTGGAGGGAGAGGCTACAGAGCTGTGGGAGAGAAGGAGTAAAACGGAGAAGTGAATTCTGTACTTTTCAGAAATGAAGATTCTAGGGCAGCACACTAAAGTTCTCTCCAATGAAAACAACAACACATTCCCCAATTAAATGGAGATCTCGATATGGTTTTGTATGGGCAGCAAGAATCAGAGGAGGAACTTTTACAGGAAGGTGAAAAAATATCAGAGCTACCTAAGCAAAATTTAGTATGTCAGGTCAGAGTTCAGGAATAATATATACATGTCACCAGAACCTACCGGAGAGACAAGCGTGGAAAAGCCTTTGAATTTATATTTTTGTAATCACAAAAGCAACGTGGGCCAAGAACAAATCTCACATGGAGAGTGAAGTCACCCACACAATGCAGGAACAAACAAAGTGTGGGCAGGACTGTCAGGCATGTGCAAGATGAAAAATAGGGAAAACAAGCAGACAAACTGGAAGTGGGGGAGAGGAGAAGAGAGGGAAGGACAAAAGATCAAAGAACTCTTGTCTAGAAAAATACAACCAAATGAATATAAAGGTATTCATCAAAAGTGCTTCAAGATTTGTGAATACAGTAAGAACTGAAAGAAAAAGATAAAAGGGAGTCTAAAAATTAAATAGACAAGTTGATGATTAAACGTTTTTATTATAGAATTAAGAAACATTCATAACTGAAAATAATGACACAGAGGCCTACGATAATCAGAGAATACAGATTAAAAAAAAACATAAATTGAAAGCAATCAGAGAAAAAGAAATAAAATTGGGTATAAGATAATCCAACCTTATGATAACTGGTGTCCCTAAAGCAGAAAAAGAGCAGGAAAGCAAGCAGACAGGAAGATAGGTACAGTGGTTCTCCAGCAGTATATACCATAATGATAAAGAGAAAAAAACCAAAGCCACACTCTTCAAAAAGTGATAGCCAAGAAAACATGCAGAAGGTTCTAAAGAATGGAGCAGTCTTGTATAGAGCAGGGCTTCTTGGTCTCTCTTGTCACAAGGTATAGAGACGAAGGAACAAAAGCCAAGAAAAAGAAAAAGTATTCTTAGATAGAGATCTCAGCTCCCCCAGAAGCACGGCCTGAGAAAAGAACTTTGCGCAGGTAATTTATTTGGGAGGCGATTCCTGAGGGTTCAAGTGACAGACTGAGAAGCGTGAGAAGGAAGGAGGAAAAGTTAAGATTGTGCTGACAAGGTTACTGCTGTATGCCCTGGGGCTTAATTTTCCAAGCACACACAAGGTCTAATAAAATGGTCTACCCAAAAACAGGAAGCAAGAGCTTCCATTCCCCATGGACTGAGAGCTGTTCTTGAGGATGTTAACTGCCACATTGAGCTGAGTATAGGCTGGAACCAGCAGGCTTTTAGACTAGATGAGGTGCTATTCGCAGTAAGTGACTGGAAGCACACGCGGTCACACAAGCAGCAGCGGGTACCAGAAGTGTGACCAAAGTGATGGGAGGGCCTAACAGTCAATAAAAGGGAAAATATCCCTGAAATAAGGGACCAAATTTAAATTGTGGCATACTGCTGCAATGACACCCAACAGTAAAATAAAAGAACTAGATCTCCATGCACAATTATGGATAGATCTTTTTTTTTTTTTAAATTGAGCCTAAGAAACAAAAAACCCAAGTTGTAAAAGGATGATTACACTTTGACTACTACTCACATAAATTTTATTAACTTGTAAAAGAATACTATCTAGGGATACATTCATAGGTAGTGACATGCACAGATACAATGAACACAAAACCTCACACGGGAGGAAAGAGTTTGCAGCCAGGGATGGGTACCCAGAAGATTTTAATGGTAACAGTTTTTTAAACTGGGTGATGGGTACATAATAACTATAATTTTCTCCATGATTAAATATTTTGTTAAAAAAAGAAAATCTGGGGTACCTGTGTGGCTCGGTCAAATGACTGCCTTTGGCTCAGGTCATGATCCTAGAGTCCCAGGATCAAGTCCCAAGTCAGGCTCCCTGCTCAGTGGGGAATCTGCTCCTCCCGATAACCCAC